GTTCAGATTTAGATATAGCTCCCATATATATATTTTACCGATTTAATGTAAACGGTCCCTATATATCTTTCGATTTGCACGAAATTTGGTACAGCCTAATCATTTAGGTCTATAATGATGTATGCCAAGTTTCGAGAAAATCGGTCCAGATTTAGATATAGCTCCCATATATAGTTTCGTCCGATTTCATGTAAATGGTGCCCCAAAGTCCCTATATATCTTTCGATTTGTACGAAATTTGGCATAACGTACTGAATTGAGCCTAGAGTGATGTCTGCCAAGTTTCGAGAAAATCGGTCCAGATTTAGATATAGCTCCCATATATAGTTTCGTCCGATTTCATGTAAATGGTGCCCCAAAGTCCCTATATATCTTTCGATTTGCACGAAATTTGGCATAACGTACTGTATTGAGCCTAGAATGATGTCTGCCAAGTTTCGTGAAAATCGGTCCTGATTTAGATATAGTTCCCATATATAGTTTCGCCCGATTTCATATAAATGGTGCACCAAAGTCCCTATATATCCTTCGATTTGGACGAAATTTGGCATAACGTACTGAATTGAGCCTAGAGTGATGTCTGCCAAGTTTCGAGAAAATCGGTCCAGATTTCTATATAGCTCCCATATATAGTTTCGTCCGATTTCATGTAAATGGTACACAAAAGTCGCTATATATCTTTCGATTTGCACGAAATTTGGCATAACGTACTGAATTGAGCCTAGAGTTATGTCTGCTTTGTTTCATGAAAATCGGTCCAGATTTAGATATAGCTCCCTTTTAATATAGATTTACTTTAAGTAATTGACGCACCAAGGAACCAATAGGCTGATAGGAACAAAACGTTCTGAAATTAGTATAACCTAACCTGTGACAAGTTTTTTTTTGAAATCGCTTAATATTTGGATAGAGCTTCCATATATATTTTCGCCCGATTTCAAGTAAATTGTTAGTCAGTTTGACATCAATTTTTGCACAACTTACAAAATTGAGCATAGAATTACGCAGTTGCGTTTTCTAGAATTACAGACATAGCCCAACGGATGACCTATTTATATTTGTTTGAACTCGATTTACATACTTTATGGATAGATCTAGGTAGATGCACATTTACATAAATATCACATATTTTATTTCATTCAATTTCATGTTAATAATCCTGTTTAATATACCCATAGTGGTGAAGGGTATCATATAGTCCTTACTGGTTTTTTAATTTGGTTTTTGGTCAAAAATCGGCGATTTTTCAAAAATATTTTTTCAAAGATCCGCAATTTTGTTAATTTTAGAGCGAAGTCAATAATCCTAGTTCATACGAGAGCCAGACATGTACTCTTTCTAACACCGTTGAAATTTTTAGATTCCGATGTTCCAGTGAGGAGTTATCATGCCCGCCATCAAAAATAAGGACTTTTCTTTAATCACAAAAAACAACAACCAGACAACAACAAAAATTTTTTGTAAATTATTTTTCTTCCTTTTTAAATCTTCAAATATATATGTGCAAAGTTACAAACCTTAACAAGCATTGGTATTCATTTACCAGCCCATTTAAAATCTTAAAAATAAAAAATCGTGAATGGGGGGGGGTGTTCCCTTAATTGTTCTCTTTCCAGTTGAGCTTGATGATAGATTTTGCAGAGAAAATATCTTGTATATTAGTTTTGTCTGTGATACACATTTTTTGTGTCGGTTATATGCGAGGTGTTCTGTATATAAGTTCAAAGATATTGATAAATGATTAGGCATAGAAACACCATAAAATGGTACCATCTGATTTGGTACTTTAAGGAACAACATGTTCCTATGGAACTATTACTGTTATTATTTTCAAGCAAATTTCCTGAATGGACACGAACTTCATTCAGAATGTCTTCTGATTTTCCATCCTAGCATTTGCCGCATTATTTACGTGCATTCTATGAAAAATGTGTACATACAATGATCGCGTGTAAATACAATGATATACTTTTAAATTTTTAGGTATACTCATATAAAATAGTTTCAATACAATGTCAATCCCATTGAAAAAATAATAATAATAAAATATTTGGAAAATTTTTCAATAATTGACAAATGTAGACTTAAAGGAATGATACGCGGCCAAATTTCACCCAAAATATCTCAAAATAACATCCATGACGTGGTGCAACCAAAATAGCTCGAGGTCAAATTCGTGGAAAGGCAAATATGCTTCATAAATTTTTTTGCAAATTTTTCGCGATTTTGTAATTTTTTGAACCTTTTAAACCTTCCCTGAAGCTCCACGAACATTTCAAGACTAAGATAAAAAAAATCCGTTCAGCCGTTTTAGAGTTTTAGCGAGACTAACGAACAGCAATTCATTTTTATATATATATATATAGATAGATAGATAATAATGTGTTTATCCATCGTAAAATGTGAATTAATATTGAAATATGTTGATAGACAGATATGATACCCAATTTGAATTCAAAATACTAAATTACAGTCAATTCGGTAGAAAGACGTGCTCGAACTTCCCAAAATAGTGGAACAATATCGAAAACTTTTTGTAGAATATGTGTTACCCAAATAGAACCCAAAATATCAAATAAAATCCAATTCGGTGAAGAAACATGTCAAAAATCTCCAAAATTTCGAATATTTGGATTCTTACAGTACGTTCACATTTAACCGTATTTCGTTAAACCAGTGGGTTTCAATTGTCAATTCCTTTGCATATATATCAAATAAATCCTCATAAAGTAGGTTAACCCGGTAAAAAGCTGTAATGTATATGCCGTTTTATATCCCATTTTCAATACGAAGCATACCAGTACTAGTAACATAAGTATATATTCCTGCATAAAATTTTATGTTGATTTAGCAATGTTCTTCTGTTGAAATCATGACAGAGATTGCAATAATTAAGGTAGATAAATTTTTTTTTTCTTTTCGATCGTTCCCACGCCACTCTTACCCGCCCCTGCCGACCGAGGGGTCCTCCTCCCCATAACGCAGGGAGAACGTACACCCCATAATCCGGATTATGGAGGGTTAGTAATGTTGGGAAACCCCGGCTACATTAAACATCAGCCGGTTATACAATTTAAAGTTAATTCAACAAAACAATAAGGACAAACACAAACATAAACATCTGGCAACTGCTTGCACTCTACAGTTCTAAACGTAGAATAGAATTTTTTATTACATGTATTGGATCAGATAAAGAGATGCGATTATACAGGTTGTTATATATTTCACATAGTGATCTAAAGGGATTACATAACTCATAATTAGATCTCACTAAAGGAAGATAAAGCGGTATATAATTACGAGTAAGACGTGCAGGTACGTTAAACTTGATTTCACCGATTAAAAATTTCGAGTCAATTTGACCGCGTAAAAGTTTTATTAAAAATATAGATCTTAGCATTAAACGTCTTCGTTCTAGTGTTGGAAGATTAATAAGTTTTAAACGATTTTCATAAGGGGGGAGTGCTTCAACTGTACTCCAAGGCAAACCTCTAAGAGCAAATAACAGGAATTGTGTTTGGACAGATTCGATTTTTTTAGAATAACAACTGTAAAACGGACTCCACAATACACATCCATATTCTAATGTAGGCCGAACTAGACTAACAAATAAACGTTTTGTCACATAAGGGTCGTCAAACTCTTTAGACCATCGTTTTATGAATCCTAGTAAAGATTTGGCTTTATTTACGCATGACTCAATATGCAAATTAAATCGCAATTTATCATCTAAGATAACGCCAAGATCAACAAAGGAGTCAACATTGTCTAATTTGTAAGATCCTATAAAATAATCAGTAGGAATTGAACGACATTTAGATAGGCATAATTTTTTACATTTTTTAATATTTAGTGACATGCCGTTAATACTACACCAGTATTCAAGAGAGTTCAAATCATTTTGTAGAGTAAGGGCTTGATTTTGTGAGTCTAAATTTCTGAAAAGTTTTACATCATCAGCAAACATCAACACTTTAGAAAATTGAATCACTGATGGAAGATCATTAAGGTATAACACGAATAATAATGGACCTAAATGGCTACCTTGAGGGACTCCAGAATGAACATCAATATTTTTAGAGAAAATATCATTATAAGACACGCTTTGAGTACGGTTTTGCAAGTAGGATGAAATCCAGGACAAAATTTTGAATGGAAAACCCATGGCGTCCAATTTAAATAATAAAAGTTTATGTAACACCGTATCAAACGCTTTACTAAAATCAGTGTAAATTACATCTGTTTGTTGCTTTGTAGAAAATCCATGGTGTGCATGGTATGTTAATTCCATCAGATTCCATTATTTTGCACACACATTGCTAGCACTTCTGAGATGTTTGCTATTGCAAACGGAATATAGCGTATCACCAATTTTCGTCATTTTGGGGATGTTGGGAACGTTTTTAACGGAAATTTTTGAAACGCCATACTAGAAATGATTAATTTTAATAGTACGTTTACATTGCACCGGATTTCGTTAACCCAGTAGGTTTCAATTGTCAATTCCATTGTATACATGCCAAATAAATCCTCATAGAGTAGGTTAACCCGGAAAAAGTTCCAATGTAAATGCCGTTTAACTCATAGATGATTGCTGACAACCTTCAATTATGGAGGATTGCAGAGATCTTTTTTAAACGTACGCGTCATTTTTGGGATGTTCAAGATACTATCCCGATTGGTTTTAGTTATTTTGAGTATCAACCCCATGGTGAAGGGTATATAAAGTTCGACCCGGCCAAGATAAAAACTATTGCTGCAACTCTCAGTTGGTACTTAAATTTTCTATTGGTCTAACTAATTTTTTATAGATGTTTCAATTAAAAAATAAATACCTTTAACAATTTTCTTATAAGTATCTCTATATTTTTTAATATGTGTAAAAATATTGTATTTTTTTAACATTTAGAGAACATTCTTGATTAATTTTTAAATGATACTTTTTGTGCATTTAGTTAGGTTTGTTTTAAGTGTACTTTATTATTATTCTGTACTTTCAGGAGTCTCATATTCATTTGGTGAAACTTACTCGCCTATTACGTTTAGCACGGTTACTACAGAAAATGGACAGATATTCCCAATATACCGCAATGATTCTAACGTTGTTAATGCTGTTGTTCTCACTTGTAGCTCACTGGTTAGCCTGCATCTGGTATGTCATCGCCGAAAAGGAAAATATGTTTAATGAACCTGGATGGGATATAGGTATGTATCTAAACTATGATATGCCAGATAATGATAAATGTATATCATTATCTGGCATATCATACTGAGTACTTCGAGTTTCCGTTGAGAATGACTAAATAAATTATTATTAAGAAGAATTTACAACAAATGAGAATATTATTCACAATTTCAAAATATCAAAAATGCTCTACACATTCATAGTTGAAATATCACATGAATTTATTCTTTATCCAAAATGCAGGACACATTTGTTGTAGAAATGTTACATTAAGTTATTCTTTATCTAACAGGTTATCGAATAAATTGATCGCATACCAAATAACATGATAGTAAGACTTGAGTATTTAAAATAAATTACTTTCTTGTGATAATATTTTGGACACAAACGTAAAATCCGCACGAAACTCTAAAAAGTAGACCGACATTGATAGTTTCTGGTAGGCAGATTTGCTACCTAGTCAGAAACCAATTCAATTGAAAATGTGCCCAAAAGTACTGAACAATGGAAGGTATCGTTATATGAGGCTACCCCGAAACTTGGCCCAATGATGATTATTTTTGGTATAGAGGTGTGCTATATAATGAGAATCCAAATACCGAACAACAGTCAATTTGAAAACAGTTGAAATACGTGCCCAAAATCCGAATATTAGGGGTACCGTTATATGGAGGCTATACCAAAGTGTGGACTTATTTACCCCATTTGAAATACCGAACATCCTAAAAGAAACAATGTTTGTGTATACAAACAGTTAATGAGAACCATGAGTCAATAAATCAACAAACACCAAGTAAATCTTTGTGGAGAATTTGATGAACATGATCAATCAAAAATAGTAAAAGTAAGATAAGAGAAACAAGCGGCTGGAGGGATGACATGAAGTTCCTCTTCCACCTCACTCGTGTCTTCCTCCATTTCATTGATAGGAGTGAGATCCCTTTGGTAAACTTCAAGCACATCCTAAACGTTTACAATTACCGCTGTTGCTCTGCCTCATTTGTTTCGCGCTGAAGATTTCGTATAATTATATGTGGCTGTGAATTACTACCAAGTGGTGAGGGGGACATATTCAGGATTTGCATTGACTTATCATTTGGGATCTTGAATAAATTACAAATTTGTCAAACACAAAAATAATTGTAATTGCTTACATGGTAAATCAGCGCTATTCCAAACATAGTCGAAAATCACTTCAAATAAAGGCCCATATCCTTACTTTCTAATTTGGGAAAACTCTCTTACTCTCTCTAAATTTAATTTTTTATTTCTTACCATTCTCTGTGGTACAATATTTAGGACAGTTCTCCAAAAATATTTACGTATATCGCTCTATTATCAATAGTTAAGCTAACTACTAAATTTCAGATTTCAATCCATAAATTTTCCATTATAATTTCAATTAAATTGTAAACTATACTACTCCATTTAACAAGATTTCTTAATGATATCTTAGAAGATATTATTCTAAATATAATAATATATTTGAATGTTTGGCAAGTGGCTAACTACTCAAGTAAGTGTATTAATATGACATATTCAATATTTAGTAATAAACAACATTGTATAAAATATAAGAATTTAAATTTGTATATTAAAAAAAGATGATATACTTTAATTTAGGTAGAAAAATTGAGAACTACTCAAAAAACATTAATAAATAATATTAGAATTTGTTTAAATATTTTAGACATAAAATCAATTTAAGCATACCCGATTTTCCGCTTCGAAGGTATTGCCGAAAGGGTTCATTATAAATCATATTTATAAAGTACAGATAATTAAGTAGAACCGTAGTGGTCTATTATTTTTAATTTATATGTGCCGCTTGATAATGAAAATTGCTTTAGGGAATGCGGGAGCTTATTGAAAGTTCTGGCAATTCGCACCTGAAATGATTTATTCATCTGACCGATAGTTCTTTGAACCTTTAATTGGTTTGTTCGGCTTGACTGACAAAATGGAAACATTTGTAGTAGAAAATCAGGAGTTTACTTCTTAGTAGCATTATAAAACAGCATTAATGTTCTACAGTCTATAAATGTCCAAAAACTACAACCAAGAAATTGTTTAACTTTAGTGCTAACATGGTCAAACTTTTTAAGCGAAAAAATATAACGAACAACTCTGTGAATCGATAGCTTAATCCTTTTCATATTTGTTTTGGTTGTACCAGAGAATATTTCAATGCAGTACAGTATATGAGACATTATTAGTGAATGCACCAGTTGTATCTTTATATTGCGGGGTAGAATTAAATCTGTGTTATAAAGTTGGCGTAATGTTAAATGTGTGTGGGTGACTACATTATCAATATGACTATCAAATGTTAGCTTATCGTCAATAATGATACCAAGGCATCTTATGCTACTGACGATGTTAATCAGATTTGTTTACTCCTGGATTTAGAACATTTTAGTACGAATTTAAAAAAATATGCATAACTTTATATTTTCAATAGAGTAAGCTACATATTAAGTTTCCGTTCTCTTTTTCTACCAGTTCCATTGTTTTTTATTATTTAGTACTTTTTATCACAACTTTAGTACTAATTTCCAAAAAAAAAATATGCATAATATTCTATTTGTAATACTTAAAGCTATATTCGATGTTTCACATTTATATCCCTATCGGTTATATTGTAATATAATATTTAGTACATTTTACATTTTAGTACTAATTTCCAAAAAATATTTTCGAACAACATTCTATTTGCCATATCTTAAGCTAAATACCGAGTTTCAGATATGTATCTCTACCGGTTCCATTCAAATATAATAATTAGTACTTCTTAGTACCTTTTAGTACTAATTTCCAAAATTTGTTTACACATACTATTGACAGAGCTGCATACCAAATTTCGGAGCTCTACTTCCAACCGTTCCAACGAAATACAGGTTTAGTACTTTTTAGTACCATTTCAGTACTAATTCAAAAAAAATATATATTGCCAATTTTTTAACATGACTGAAGCGGAGGTTCACCCCTATATAACTCGGGAATTGCTTATGTATATGAAAAAAGTGAATAGTTTTGGGTTAATTGATCTGTCGTTGCAAACTGTTCATGATATTGAACTCCAAACTTTATTTTGGTGGAAGCTGTGTCTACTTTAATGTAAAATAATGTGTAAAAACAGGTTGAGGCGTACCAGTTTTTTATGTTCTGTATCGATTTGTGATTAAGTCACTCATTCCACTGTCTTCGTGTCAAAGTAAAACTATAGACCAACAAAATGGGGACTACGCCCCTTATGTATCATTTTTCAAAATTTTAACTGTATCTACCTTTAAATGATGCTGACATTTTGAAGCTCGACTTTGAGTGTTTTTTGAATTTTAATACGCATACAGGAATTTCTAAAAATCGATTATAAGATTATTGTAGTCGCGATTCTTAGTAATTTGGTATATATTTTGTGTATGTAGTATGCACAGCTTCAGGGTAATACTCATCCGAAGGTGAAAATTTTGTGCGACCAAAATTCTAAAAAACCTATTTTTCGGGTCAAATTTGTAGATCTGTCAACTGAATGATAAGGTTTTTTACGTTTCGGATGATATAAAATCTTCTTCGTGAAAATCCATCAATTAGAACGGCGGGAACTGGCCTTCCAAAAACACGAAATTTGGAAAAAATGTTTTTGAAAATATCGCGGCTTTTATTGTATTTTCTGTGGATCATTTCGGTTTCAATAAATGACCTCATACGGATTTTGATCTTTTTCGAAAAGAGAACTTTAAAAATTTCAGCCGAAAGAGAGATGTACCCAATTTATCTCAAAAATAGTGTGAGCTGGCACATCCATGGTTCTTAATGGACCACATTGAAATCGGTATAGATCGACGTATTTTTTTAGGGTGCACACCGAAATCGGATGCGCGTTAATGGCAAATGGAGTTTTCGGAAAGTATTCGCGTTTTATGAGTTTTTGGGTACTTCAATGCAACATGTGGCACATCTTAGGCGTCAAATGAAATTTCGCAAAATATACATGGATTGGAAGATAAACTTCAGTACTTCCTTGAAACCGCATGCACATCAAATGATTTTGAGAATTACACGATTTAGACGCAATTTAAAATGAATATTTCATAATAATATTATTATTATTGTTACGTTCTTGGACTTCACTTATTCCCGTGTAGACGTTGTTTTATTTCCCGATACAGTTCGTACCAAATAAAACGCGGGTTCGTTCTGATTACGATTATTACAATGATTTTATTCACACAATTTTACTTTGCACTTTACTTTACACGACGGTTTCAATTCGCGCTCTGATTCACAACTGACTCACTGCCTTTCCATTCCCTCTATTTATATGAGCCCGGCCTGTCGCTACAGAAGTTTCTAGACGATCTGGTAACACCTAGATCACGAACAATCTACCAATGCAACAAACACATTGAGTAACAATAACAACAACAAACTTGAGTAAACAAACTTACAATAACAACAACACATATACAGGCGAGGGAATAACAAAGAAAGAGGAATAACAACAACACATATACAGGCGAGGGAATAACAAAGAAAGAGGAATAACAACAACACATATACAGGCGAGGGAATAACAAAGAAAGAGGAATGACGTTTAACAAGAATTGTACGACAATAACAAAATAGAAAATGAAAGAGGAAATGGAAGGATGTAGAAAAATCTATACAGTGGTTGTTGTTGTGAAGTTATTCAAATAAACTGCGTAGTAGAAATTTACGTTACAATTCAAATTCTTAAATTAACGGAATTCATCTAAATTAACTTAAATCTAAAGTTATATTCGTAACATTGCCCCCCGCTTAAGCCTGTTCGTCCCGAATAGGCACAGTTCCCGTTCCGTAGGGGGTCAGCCGCTCCAAATGTACAACTTTCATCTTCGACCTGGGACTGTCGCTCCTCTGGATGCGATAAACGACGTCATTTATTTTCGTGACAATCTTGTAGGGTCCTTCCCAGTGCGTTTGCAATTTGGGGCATAGTCCTTTCTTTCGTTGTGGGTTGAACAATAGTACCAGT